GAGTTAACTGTTAACAGTGGGGGTTGGGGGCGGAGTTAACTGTGTGCAGTGAGCCTCAGGCAGCACTCAGGACAGAGAGGGGCTCTGAGAGAGACACAGCAGGAGTGAATCACCTGTTTTCTGTGGGTTTAACGTGAGATAACAATGGCATTTGTTGACATTATTTGGAAAGTGTTTTGTTAATAAAAGCTCAGAGGAGCACACGGGTGACTTTGGGTCCTTTTTAATATTTAAATTAGAATGCTGCTTCGCTGATCAGTCGATCAGTGCTATTTTTAGAACGTGTCCTGCAGGCGACTCAGAAGGGGTCTGCGGGCGACCTGGTGCCCGCGGGCACCGTATTGGTGACCCCTGCTATAGTAGTATTAGAATACTGTCCTAGTTGTTTGATTTTACTCCCATTTATTCTTCAACTTCACAACCTACTGGATTTATTGGTTTAGAAAACTCAGCCTTCTGACTCATTCATTTAGTTGGCACAAAGCTGTGTCACTCAGAAAGGAACACATAAATACAGACTTCAAGTAGAGCTGAATGTGGGTGCGGTGAAAAAATATGAATTTGTGGATAGAACTAAACTTGTCATTATTTGGGATTAAATCCAATCTATGTACAACAGATYTGTCCAATCCTGGTCCCGGTGGAACACTATCCTGTATGCTTTAGTTGTTTCTCTGCTCTTCAACAGGTCTTCAASTTCTGCAGAAGCCTGTTAATCACTTATTCATTCAGATCAGGCGTATCAAAGAATAGAAACAACTAAAACATGCAGGAGAGTGGCCCTAGGACTGTGGACCACTGCTATGACTGATTGTGTTTCTGTGTTGTGTGGGTGGAACTCTGTGTTTGTCACTTAGGGGGTCAGACTTGTTTTGGTTTGGTTGCTCAGCAGCAGCCTGCAGCTCGCCCCACCACAGGGTGCCCACTTCAGATGTTCTGTTGCTCATAAATGCAGTTTATAGCATGAGCTGGATTTATAAAACAGCTTCCGTGTAACTCTTTAAATATGTGTAAGAGAAAAAGAGAAAGAGGAAAAAAAAAAACAAAAGTTTTTTTCTTGTTCAATTTTGCATCAACAGTACACAATTACCAATACATTAGTTTAAAATTAATTAATTTAGTGGATTTCTTTGTGACAAAGCAAATTAAAACTCTGACCTGGATTATCGCAGTCCACATGTCGTGTTCCTGGTGGAGTCCTGGTTCCTGGTCTTTCCTGACCAATGTGGTCCACGCACCAACAATGTCCAGTAGAACCGTGGCACTAGAACAGTGTTAAATGACCATGTGAATATTACTGATGCTACTGGGAGGTACATGAGTAATACTATTATTAAAACTCTAAAACAATAATAAAAAAAGTTCAAGGAAAGTTTTAAGTGACAAACCTGTTGTGTTTGATAGTGTCCATGTTCATCACACTGAGGGACATAGGCTCCTAGGACAGGGTGTCCATCCGAACCAGTGGTCTGAACACTGTCTCTGTGGTGCTCACACTGAGTCTTGGGACGATCTGTCTCATAACAYCAAAACAAGGTAAGAAAGAAGACTTTTAGCCCATTAGACGTTAGCTTTCTTCCTTCTTGTTAGATCTAACAAGGTAGGGATGCAGACTACTACTAGTTAATTTAAGATSCAGACTCTTATTTACATTTTGTTCCAGAAAGTTAGATTAGCCCATTCCTGGACCTCGAGAGTCGCTAATACCTGAATCAGTGGTGTACATACCATGATTGGTCACCAATAGTTCAGGTATTAGTGGCCCTRGAGGACCATGATTGGACACCACTGGTTGAAGTATTAGCGGTCTTATAGGACCAGAATTGGACACCCRTCATTGACCAGGATTGGACATGAGTTGTTCAAATATTAATGGTCCCTCAAGGACAASGATTGGACAGCTAATCTAACTTTCTGGAACAATCTGTAAAAAAAAGTCTAGATCTCAAGTTATCTTCTTACAAAAGTAAACTGCTAATATTAGCTACAATCATCACTCACTATTTGTAAGAAGTGTTACCTGATTTATCACAGTCTTTTGGTGGTGTACCAGGGGGAGTCCTGGTTCCTGGTCTCTCCTGTCCATTCTGGTCAACACACCAGCAGTGTCCACTGGAACCATAGCACTAAAACATAAATAAAAACCATTCCCATGTAACATTTGTAACTCTTGACAAGTCACTTAAGGATATTTGCCAGTCTTATCCAAACCTGTAGTGGTATGTAGTGTCCATCAGTGTCACACTGGGGGACATAAGCTCCAGCTACAGGGTATCCCCCTGAAATAGTGGCCTGTGCTCTCTCCTTGTGGCGTTCACAGGACGTCTTTGGATGCTCTGAATGATCTGAAAAACATTTCAAAGTTTCAACGACATAAAACAAACAGTTTTTAAGAGTCGTATCAAGGAAGAGGTATCATGATATGCTGATGATGCTCAACTATATTGGCAAATAAATTAACAAAGTTGCCTTCTTTGAATCACAACCACATTGATAATCCCTTCCTGACACAACTTACTGTGGGAGCCTGTGRTGTAATCTCTTTAACAAATTCCTATAAATGGTAGAAAGTATAACGGAGACCCTGCTAAGGRTTGCTACCAATAGATTCCCAAAGAATGTTGCTGAATAAAGTCTCAAAAAATGCAGATGATATGAGTGTTAAGAGTATTATTATTGCATCACCTGCTCCGCTGCAGTCTACACGTGGTTCACCAGGTGGAGTCCTGGTTCCTGGTCTCTCCTGTCCACTACTGTCCACACACCAACAATGTCCGGTAGAACTATGACACTAAAATGATAAGAAACATTTACTTGGATTTAATGACTYTAATTCTAAACTTAAATGAGACTTCACAGTAAAAATGAGTGAAGAATGTTAACCTGCTGTGGATGATAGTGTCCATGTTCATCACATTGAGGAACATAGGCTCCAAGTAGAGGACGTCCATCTGGACTGGTGGTTTGAACACCATCCCTGTGATGCTCACACTGAGTCRTGGGACGATCAGGCTCATCTAGATGAAAATACGAGATCATTTCTAAACCAATGCTAGATGTTTCCAACTACATCTTAGTGAAAAACACCAAGAAGGTGTGTTGATTTTCAGGATCCATGCCAGCCTCCATAACCCTCGAAGAACCCTTTGGTCACTCTTTGGTCAATTTGGCCTTTCAAGTCCTCTTAAAAGCATATGAGTTTTCCACGTCATGGTTTTTAAGCAGTGTAGGTGACTTTGTCAAACATTGGTTTTGGCATTAAAGCTCCACCTGGTGAGCAGCTGTTCACACTTGTTACAGTTTGTTTGTTCAAGCTGCTCTTCAGATCATTCAAAAACTGTAACAAATGACTGATTGATCTTCTGTCCTCTCCAGATGAGACACAACGTTCGTAAGTACATTTTTAGAAACCGACCAGTTAAGAGCCTCACCTGCTCTACTGCAGTCTACATGTGGTTCACCAGGCGGAGTCCTGGTTCCTGCTCTCTCCTGTCCCCTACTGTCCACACACCAACAATGTCCAGTAGAACCATGACACTGATTGGGAAAGAAAGATCAACCATGGAAAATGACTGCAACTCTGAGAATGATGTGAATGAGATCCAACCATAAAGGGAGTACAGAAAGTCTAACCTGCTGTGGATGATAG